TACAGGATCTCTCTGCGTCAGAATCGAGTAGACTCAGTGGCAGAGAATTTGGTTTTGATTTAGCTCAAGGAATAAGGTACTGTCTCACCTTGATTCACTTCTGGGGCCTCTGGATTTGTGTGAGTGTCTGTGTGTGTGTGTGTGTGTGTGTGTGTGTGTGTGTGTAGATCTCGGTGGTCGTAGTAGTAGTAGTAGTAGTAGTAGTAGTAGTAGTAGTAGTAGTAGTATATGAGCTGCAGGAGTGGAAGTGGGGATGACAAGGGCAGGGGTGTAGAGAAGGTCTCTGGAGAAGGGTACTGTTCTCAGGTACCAGCAGTGTCCCGGGCCTTTCTGGTTCGCTGGGCCAGGACTGTGTGTGAACAACAGGACTGTGAACAACAGGACTGTGAACAACACCCTTCTGGTTGCTCTGATGAAGCTGGAAGTTGATGGGCGCCCTCATTCTTGCATGGCAGCTATGAGCTGGAACACAGGTCAGCCGCCTCCTGGCTGGTTGGGGCTCTGCCTGCTCCCGGTGGCCGTAGCCACCCTTACATTGTTGGCACGGTCCTTACCAGCCATTACTTCTCCAATTCCTCAGCCAAGGGCACCCACTTACAGCCCTGCACAGTCTCATGAACTGACCACTGAGCTTGCCCATCCGTGTTTGATAATACCTGTGTTCCCCACCAGACCACCTTTGGGGCTGGGCACACGTCTGTTTGTTCCATCACTTCAGTCAGGGGGCCTGGCACAGAGAAGGCCCCAGGAAAGGGCTGAAGAATGAACCGGGGCTGTGCTTGGGGAGTATGCCTGGAGGCTGGAGTGGCGAGAAGCAGTGGCCAATGAAGCCAGAGTAGGGCGGTGTGGGGGGGGGTCCACGTGAAAAAGGGCTGGAGGGTGTAGCTCAGCTCAGGAGACACGGAGGGCCACCAGTGGAGTTGAAGCAGCGTTCATGCAGGGAGACCCTTATGACTTGAAGAGTTTAACTGGGAGCCACACGCCAAGGGCCAACTCCAGGGCAGCCTGGCAGGAGGGCAGAGTTTCGAGACTGTGGGGCACCCCAGGCAGGTGGAAGGTGGCTAGATGTTAGAGGTCAGCGGTGGGCCAGGGCGATCTGTCCGTGGTTGTGCAGCACCGGCAGGCAGAACACAGTGCACGCCAGCACCCAGGGGAGTCTGGCTGCCGAGAGCTGGTGAGGAAGGGAGGACAGGGTCAGAGGCTGGAGGGAGGATGAGTGATGGCCTGGTGGGCATCAGGGATGGGCGGATGGGTGGCAGATGAGTAGACCGGATTGGTGGGTTTTTACCTACAAAGCTTTGCACCTGTGGCCAGCACACTCATCCCCAGTGCTTGGTCCAAGCATTGAGCAGGTAGGGCCTGGAAGAGCTTTGTCACAGACATTCTGCCCCGGTCCAGGTCCCAAACCCATCAGGCCTCCAGCTGCTGAGAGGGTGACTCCCTGTGAAAGTAAGATAGAGACTTTGGGTCCTGGGCTTTGGGAGATGCTCACCTCAGGTCTCCCAGACAGAAGACAGTGAGGCCAGGACCCTGTGGAGGTAGGCAGGCAGACTGTTACCAGAGGGTCCCTCCCCTTGTAGGGGGCACAAGGTCTGATGGGGTGGCTCCCGGGGGCTGGAGGAAAAAGGTTGCCTAGGCAAGAAGACAGAACTACTTATGGGAGGTGGAGGGCCGCGCAGTTCCTGTGCCACGGGAAGTGCTTGCAGGGCCCCCAGCCTGCAGAACATGGTGAGTCTTTAACCTGATGGGCCAGTGCATGGGCGCCATCTTCGCCGCCCACCTCGTGGTGCACCTGACTGCTGTCTCTATCGACCCGGCGGACGCCAACGTGCGGGACAAGAGCTACACAGGGCCCCTGCCCATTTTTAACCGCAGCCAGCACGCTCACGTCATTGAAGACCTGCACTGCAACTTGTGTGATGTCGATGTGTGAGTGCACGGGGGGCTGAGGCGCGTGCAGGCAGTGAGCATGCGCGTGGATAGCAGCTGGCAACGCGAGTCACATCATTGCCTTGGTGTTTGACACTGTCAAGGGGGTGGGGTGGGGTGGGGAATTGGCAGCCCCTGAGCAGAGCAGGTGATTGGAAACAGGAGTTGAGCACGTTTCCACGGCAGTTAAAGTAGGAGACACTTGGCGCCGCACAATGTTTAGTGACAGGTGCTGCGGCGGCTGGTGCACACAGGAGCACCAGCTGCACCAGGCACCCACCCTGCAAGGGAGCTGCAGCGCTCTTACTCCCCAGAAAAGCTGAGAGGCCAGCCTGAGGCATGCAGCCATTAAGCAGCAGAGCCTCCTGGCCAATACTGTTCCCCTTGGGGACCCCTGCCAACCCTGAGGCCCAGAGAGGCCCAGGGACTCGCTCCAGGCCACAGCTAGAGGAGGGAGGAGTCAGAACGGACAGAGCCCCTCCCCACCCTCGGGCCTCAGGGAGTGGGGTTGGGAAGGGAGTGTGGTCCAGGGCTGGCTCCACTCTTTGAACCCAGAGACCCAGTTAGCCCGTGAAGGGGTCTGCAACACGAAAGAGCACCGCCTCTGACGTTCGTTCGGGCTGCCAAATGGACTGAGGATTTCTGTGGGAAAATGCCAAGAAATGGCAAGCAAACGGGGGTGGGGTGGGGGGACAGACCCAAAGGAGACAGTGCCAGGAAAAGCGGGAGGCGGAGGGGGCGCTGGGCCCACTCCCTCAGACTGCTGCATCATCTGTCTCCTGGCTTGGCGCCGGGGACCTTGCTTGGAAAGGAAGCCTCTTGTCTGATCCACTGTCGCCCCCCACCCTGGGTGCGCAGTCCAGGGCAGGGCGGCGCCGTGTGCCCTTGCCCCTGCCCCTGCCCAGGGGTCCGTCCCTGCGGAGACCCAGCGGGGCCCCAGCGAGTGCTTCACGCAGCACCGCCGCCAGAGGGCGCCCGCGGTCTGCGCTCCGCAGCAGTGCCAGGGCCCAGGGCCCCCTCTGCTCCGCGTGAACCTCCGCCGCCCGCCCCAGCTCTGGCTTCGCACCGACCAGGCTGTGCCCCCTCCCCGCAGGAGCGCTCGCTCCAAACACTGCAGCGCCTGCAACAAGTGCGTGTGCGGCTTCGACCACCACTGCAAGTGGCTCAACAACTGTGTGGGCGAGAGGAATTACCGGTGGGTGCATCTGTGCGTGCTGGTCTGAGAAGATGCGCCCATGGGTGCCCGCTGGGGTGGCCGAGGGTGGGTTGGGGGTCTTCCACCTTGCTGGCACAGGAGGGTGGGGGAGCCCTCTGGTGTGGCCGCCCATCTTCAGCTTCTGGAAGAGTTAGGGATAGAAGGCATCCCCCCTCCCCCAGCCCAGCGTGGCTCCCTCCAAGCCCTGGGGTGCTGACAGCTGCCCCACCGGGCCCAGGCTCTTTCTGCACAGTGTCGCATCCGCCCTCCTGGGGGTTCTGCTCCTCGTGGTGGTGGCTACCTATGTGTTTGTCGAGTTCTTTGTCAACCCCATGCAGCTGCGGACCAACCGCTACTTTGAAGGTAAGCGTGAATGCAGGCTGTACCCTCCCTGGCCTGTGGTGGCCTTGGGCCCCCGGCCCTGGCTGAGCAGCCCTGCCTGTGCCCGCAGTCCTCAAGAATCACACGGATGTGTGGTTCGTGTTCCTGCCCGCGGCCCCAGTGGAGACCCAGGCTCCAGCCATCCTGGCCCTGGCCGCCCTCCTCATCCTCCTGGGCCTGCTCTCCACAGCCCTGCTCGGCCACCTGCTCTGCTTCCACATTTACCTTAGTAAGTGGTGTTGCTTACCTGCCTCCGGGCTGCAGGGAGGGGCCCATTGCTGTCACCACCACCACCACCACCCCCCAGCCCTGGCCCTCTGGGTGACTGGTGGCCTCCCTCCCCGTCTGTTTCCTGAGGGCCCCTCTCCTCCCTTCCCCTCCCTCAGTGTGGCACAAGCTCAGCACCTACGAGTACATCGTGCAGCACCGCCCACCACGGGAGGCAAAGGGGCCCCACAGAGAGCTCGAATCCTGTCCCCCCAAGATGCAATCCATTCAGGTATAGAGATGGGCCAGGGGGCTGAGCTGGTGGGAGGGTGCCTCCAGCCCCCAGGGAGGCTGGAAGGGCTGTGCAACACTCAGCCAGTCAGGAGATGGGGCAAAAGGCAGTGAGTGGCCAGGGCTGGAGGCTGCAGGTGAAGCCAAGGCTGCACTGAGTTCCGGCAGGAGCTTCCCGACCCCATGGATGTGCTTGTCCAGGCTCTGAGCATGTGCTAGAGGGCGTGGGAGGTGGGAGCCTGGAAGCAGGCAGGTTGGGGCTGCAGGAGAAGAGAATGGGATGGACCAGCCACTGGACCAGCAAGTGGCCGCTACACAAGGCCATCTGTCTGTTCTCCCCATCCATGACCTAGAGCCTTTACACCAGTGGTTCTCAACCTTCCTAATGCCATGACCCTTTAATACAGTTCCTCATGTTGTGGTGACCCCCCCCCAACCATAAAATTATTTTCACTGTTACTTCATAACTCATTTTGTTGCTGTGATGAATCAGGCAACCCCTGTGAAAGGGTTGTTCGACCCCCAAAGGGGTTGGTACCCACAGGTTGAGAACCGCTGCCTTACACCAGTCACTAACTAACTGGTCCTTAGCCTGGGCCAGGCAGGCCTGGTTCCACACTCACGCTGCAGAAAAGCATATTGAGACCCAGATGCTGGGTCTTCACATCGACCTCAATGTGAAGTTACTACCTCTCTCCCCCAGCTCAGACTCTGGCCCGGTCAGCCCAGCTACTGGCCAGCTCACCCCCATTCCCACGCCTTGGGCTTCCTGAGGTCAGCAGCTGAGGGTGGGGGTGGCCCAGTCTTCAGAGCCCCCAGGGACCTTGAAGGCAGTGTGTGAGGGTGGGGGCAGGCCGGCCTTGCTGGGAGGGCTGGGCCTTGGGTCCTGAGTTTTCATGGCAACTAGACACAAACACAGGCTGGTGGGCGGGCTGGGGGAGGGCTGGGACCCAATCCCTTGTTCTCCCAGCCTATGGGCCAGGCTGCCAGGCAAGAGCTCCTGCCAGGCTGGGGGGCTGGGGACATGTAGATCCTGTCCCCAAATGGGTGCTGCCCGGGACTGGGTCCTGAGCCTGTGGGTCACTGACAGCCATTGTGGGCAGCTGGCATGCCATGTCACAGAGGGGACTGGGCCTCAGAGAAGTAGGCTTCAAGCTGGTGCCATTGGGCAGGGCTGGCTCTGGGATGGTGCCAGCAGCCTGGCCCTTGCAGTCCTGTGCCTCTGTCCCTCTGCTGGTGACCTGAGGGAGGCCTGCCCCGAGGGGAGTGTTGTCCCCTGGATGCATGGTTCCACTCAGGAATGTACAGGGAGGATCCAAGGGACAGCTGTGCAGGGGAAGGGGTTGAGTGGGGACATCCTGGTGACAAACTTCCAGCAGGCTAGGGCCTGGCTCCCATCCCAGTCCATCCCAGTCTGGAAGCCTGCTCTGAGACCATGCTCCCTGGGGCCCCCGCCTCCTGCCTCACTCTTCTGGAAACCCCAGAGCCCCAGGATGGGTGCTGGGCCTGGAGGGGTGCTGGCCCCCAGGAAGAAGGCAGATTGCAGGTGGAAGATGGCCCTGCCGTCGTCGGATGGGCCTGACTGGCTTCAGGCCTGTTTTCTCTCCTGAGCTGTTCTGCTCATGCGGCCCCACCCCCACCCCCAAAGGGACTCTCTGGGACTGGCCTGCCCAGGGCCTTGGGTGTCTGCGCCTGTGCAGCCAGCCAGTGGCCTTGCTGGCTGGGCTCTGTCCCCCAGATATGGCCTCCACCCCACCCCCACCCTGAGCAGGAATCCGGGAGGGGCCCCTCTGTGGAGCCGTTGCCCCCAAACATAGGCTTGTTTTAGAGACGGCGGCGGCGTTGCTGCTACAGTGTCCTTGCTGCATTAGTCAGGACGCCTCTGTCTCCATGGAAATAGTTGCCAGAGCGAGCGACAGCTGTCCCGGCGCCCCTCCCCCCAGGCACAGCGTCGGGCGGGGCTCCCTGGCAGGGGCGGGACCTCGCCCTGGCTCCTCCCCACATCTGCCGCACGCCGGCCTTCAGCTTTGTCCTGTCTGGCTTCTGTTTCCACACCTGCCGCCCTGTGGGGCTTGGCTGGGGCCAGCCCTGCATGCGGGTGCGGGGTGGCATTGTTAACGCCTGGGTAGGCAGCCCCGAACTGGCTGTGTAGGTTTTGGGCCGTGGTCAGCTCTGCCCCTCGTCCATCTGCCAAGGACCCGAGGGAGGCGTGCCTCGCAGCCAGAAGGAGGATGCCGGTCCCCCTTTACAGATGGTGCACTTTAGCTTGGGGCTGGGTGAACCGCCCGCAGGAAACAGCTCTCCCATAAGTCCGCTCCTGGGTTCCAGACAATTCCCCCAACCCCATTCAACCTTCACAACTCTGGCTCCCTGGGCAAGGGCAGATGCTGAAGAACAGTTCCGAGCTCCACCTCCCACCTCTGCCAGCGCACTTGCAGACGGGGAATATTGGTCTGTGGGGCAGGGGCTTGCTGGAGAGAGCTGCGTTTCACAAATAAAAGCAGGAGGCCGCGCAAGGTTAGAAACGGATGTTTTGATCCTTAGGTCTTTTAAGCTGAGGGAGTCTGGGGTGGGGTAGCCTGAGTACCCTGTGCCCAGAACTCCCTTAGAGCAGTGGTCTCATTAAAGTTGGTGTCTCCCAATGTGGCAACTTCCCCTGTGGTGTCACCCCTCTCATAGACGGCCTCCCCCCAGACCATATAGAATCCTTAGTCATCATATAGAATCCTATGTAATATATACTGCGTCACTACATAGGTGCTATATATTGAGTCACCTACTTCTTAGGTCATATGAATATTAGCAAAATTGTAGAGTCTACGTTGAGTTACAACACGATTAGTTAACATTATTAGTAACTGAATGGAAGCCTATTTAATTTTTTTCTCCTTTAATTAGTACATTCTCAAAAAGGTTAACAGGTTCACAGACACCAATTACCACAATATTGTAGCTAAAATGCCAGAAACTTCCACAAAGTCAGTGACTAAAAACAGGTCAAAACAACAGGTGGGGCTTGTAGCTTGTGCAGATGAAATCGCCACGTGATTCTGAGCAGCCTTGCGATTCGGTAGGACCCCGATGGAGTCATTTCCACTCACTGCTGCCTAGTAAATTACGATAATGCACACTGGGCTCACTGCCAGGAATCAGTTCTGACCTAGCCACGCTATAGGGCCAAGCAGAACTGTGCCTGTGGGTTTCTGAGACGTAATGTTTAAGTGAGTAGAAAGTTTCATTGTTCTCCCCGGAAGCAGCCGGTGGGTTTTGAACCGCTGACTTTGAGGACAGCAGCCTAACCCTGTAACTCACTCCACCACCACCACCACGGCTTCCAGCTTGGCTCCCAGCAACCCTATCTAGGATTGCAAAGGCTGCCCTTGCCCGTCTTTCCCGTGGCAGGCAACCTTGGGGGGTTGGAGGGGGCTTTGGTGTTAGCCGCTTAGCCTCCAGCACTACCAGGCCATTAGAAAGTTAGCAGTAAATTAGCGTGCCGGTGTAGCCTGATGGCTGTATAGACACATGTAAACTGGGCTTACCTAAGTGTTTTCGTTATTGCAACAAGGAGGCTTTTAATAAAGAACAGTAGCGAAAGCACTGCTTACATAAAGTCATTTGGGGGCCACCCCCTCACGACACCTCAGACACCCGGTGCGGTGGTGATGGCACTGCCGAGGAGGCCAGCGAGGGCCTGGGTGGGCCCAGGAGCCCCCCATGCCGGGGACCTACACCTGCCCTT